CTGTTATTAAGTAGAACCCCCAGGCTTTGTCTTAGGTGTCAGAAAGGAAATCATTGGGCCTGGGAATGTAAATCAAAGTTTGACCTCCGAGGTAACGCCCTGCCTCCCGCTAAGTTTGGCACTAGGCCAAAAAACGGGAGGATGGGCCCAGTGCCTCAGGGCCCACAAATATATGGGGTAATGCAAGTCACTCATCCTACCCCTCAGCCATGGCCCATAATGCAGCAGGCAACGCAACAGATTCCCATCAACAGGGGAACTTGGACTGCACCAGAAGAGTCAGCCCAGGAAGTGCAGGACTGGACCTCTGTGCCACCACCAGACTCGTACTAACACCCCAGATGGGGGTCCAAGTGATTGAATCAGACTTTAAAGGGCCCCTTCCAAAAAATACTGTGGGGCTTCTAATTGGGTACAACTCTGAAGGGTTTAATAATTCATCCAGGGGTTATTGATTCAGATTATACAGGGATTGTAGGGGTTATGGTTTCTTTTCCTAGAGGAATAGCTCTCATAAACCCCGGAGATCGTATAGCCCAGATATTAATCCTTCCCAGTACCCATGCAAACTATCCATCTAAAGCTTCTATTAGAGGGAGCAGCGGTTTCAGATCTTCGGGAGGGCCACAAGCTTTGTTAAACCTTGATATGAATAATAGACCTTTATGTACTTTATGTATTGAAGGAAAACATTTTTTAGGACTTTTGGATACAGGGGCTGATAAAAATATTATTAAGTCATCTGAATGGCCTACAAATTGGCCTTTGCAACAATCTAGTCAAACCCTGAGAGGCTTGGGCTACGCCCAGGATCCCCAATGCAGTGCAAAAGTTCTAAAGTGGAAAGATAGTGAGGGGCATGAAGGAGTTTTTCAACCTTTTGTGATGAAGCTGCCCATCTCACTATGGGGCAGAGATGTCATGGCTCTGATGGGAATGCGGATGCTTACAGACGCAGAATATAGTACCCAAAGTTATAATATAATGCAGCGTATGGGTTACCAATTTGGAAAAGGTTTAGGAAAAAATAATCAGGGCATCAGTGAACCCATACAAATATCAAAAAATTCTCACTGTAAAGGGTTGGGTTTTTCTTAGGGGCCATTGAGCAAATTCCAATTACATGGAAAACGCAACAACCAGTCTGGGTCCCTCAATGGCCCCTGCCTAAGGAGAAACTATTAGCGGCCCAGGACCTAGTTAAGGAACAATTGGACGCAGGGCATATAAAGGAATCAACCTCTCCATGGAATACCCCAATATTCGTTATCAAAAAGAAATCAGGAAAATGGAGATTACTCCAAGACCTGAGAGCTGTAAATGACTGCATGGAAGTCTGGCCCTGTACAGCTTGGGCTTCCATTAATCTCAGCACTTCCCAAAGATTGGCCTTCTGCTATTATTGACATAAAGGATTGCTTTTTCTCCATTCCCTTACATCCGAGTGATACTTGTAGATTTGCTTTTACTGTTCCTTCTTTAAACCATTCCTCCCCTGATGCACTGTATGAATGGATAGTGCTACCACAAGGAATGGCTAATAGCCCGACTTTGTGTCAGATATATGTGGGAAAGGCGATAGAACCCTTGAGGAAA